TATATATAATATTATATATATACTAATAAAACCATATACAATACAGAAATATATTTATATATATGCATATAATTACTTACTCTGTTTAACAAAAGCCTTAAAACATACTAATATTTAATTCGCAGCAAGAATCCAAAATACAAGAGAATTATGTTAAATGAAAATATGTTACTTTTGGGTTACGTTTGCTTGGATCAACTATGAACCTAGGAAACAGCCGACAAAATTCGAAAGTTCCGATTGGTTGGTTCTTGTCGCTATCGCGTTATTGTGCATCGAAGGCACATTGGAGGCGATAATTTCTTATTCCTTATTTTTATTCCCTATTCCTATTGCCTGTTACCTGTTTGTGCAAGGGCCTTTAAGATTCTCCGGTCTATCTTTATAATCCTCCTTTTAAATTTCCCGCCTAATCCTATTACTTCTCTCACCCGACCCAGATGGCCGAAAGAAGGGAGATCGGAGCCATATCATATCTACTCTACTCTACTCTAGTTCACAGTCTCTTGAAAAACACGTGAAAATATAGAGGTTAGCACATTAAATCCTGATATTAAATCATTGATATGTAATGTCACGTTTTAGAATTTGGCAATATGGTATACCATTTATGATTTTTATTCTTGGTGGATCATTTGGCCTTCGAGAATTTACAGAATTACGGTAATCTAAAATTTACTGAGATTTAATTTTATAAGTATTATAGTTCTATTTATGAGAATTTAAATGTGTCAAATAATGAAAAACTTCACAGATTTAGAGTTACGGAGTGGCATATTCGAAAATAAAAAAAATTTGATTTACTAAATTGTTTCTACTTAACATTTTCTATTTAGCAATTTTTTACAGTTATAGATATAAACAGGTATATGAGTATACAATACGTGATGAACTAGAAAAAAAAGGAATTGAGATGAAACAACCAGAAGAAATAACTTTAGAAAAAGAGTATGAAAAATTAAAAAAGGTAAACAATATACACATAATTTGATGGATAAATCTACATGATTGTGTGAATTGTAATAGTGAATATACAGAATAGTAATTTTATTACAAACATTTTTTTTGTTTTTATTCCAAAATTTATTACTTTCATTAATAAGTTTCAATTTTACTAAAAAAAAAAAGAACTTAGAAAATATCTTAAAGTGGTTCGAGTGTATTGGCACATTATTGGCTATAAAAAGTAATGCTTTTGTAAAGGGATAATAGGTTAAGAAATTCTCATTTATACACAAAACTTTTAAGCTATGATTGTCCGAATTGATGATATATATATATATATATATATATATGAAATTATACACTATGCATTGTCATAAATGTGACAACAATGTGTTGATTTATAAATTTCTAACTTGTAAGGTGAAATATTTTGATCATACATTCTATTCGTAAAATTGTGATTTTTTTATATTATTAAGTATAAAATATCTTAATGAAAATGAGAATTAATGGAAAATGGATTAAAAAATTGCGCACATTTACATTAACTTTGTATGTTACAATAATGCAGTGTTGTTATATTGTTATATCCATACTTCATTATTAAGTAATAAAAATCTTCAAATTTCAAACTTTAATTTCTCAATAATTAACAAGTGAATTATTGTAATTTTTTTTTAAAGCTTTATTATGAATTCATGTATTATTAACTAGTTTTTTATTAAAACCATAAGAATAGATTTTTTATTGCACCACATAATTAAATGTAACATCGACTTTTGTTATAAGACTGTATAAAAGTTTCTTACTTTGAAGTAAAATATTTCAGTAATTAATGTCAATATCCTTGAAATTGTGAAATTATATTAATAAAGTCTGCTCTAAGTACAAATGGTATAAATTTGAATAATTTCTTAAGAAAATTAATTAACTGAAACCACTAAATAACGAAAATTAATTAATGTTTGAACTATCAAATAACTTTAATCTAAAATTAACTTTAAAAAATGTCAATATATAGAAGAAAAATCAATAAAGAAATATTGAAATATTTATTCACAAATATTTTTAACTCGATAGATAAGCAATGTTAAATATACAGAAAAATGATTGTGCTTTAATATGTAAAGACAAAATAAAATAGGATTTATATTTTTTTTTGACCTGATATGGCACATTTTTTTCTTTATTTCCTAGTATAATATATGAGAAGAAAGAGCAAACTTTATAAATTGTGCATTTTTATGTGGAAAAATAAAGATATAATTATAAATATAAAATGGAATAGTTTAATAAAAAACAAATTAGGAAAAATTAATAATTTTGGAAGAACCATTACTGCAGAAAACTAATTTGACTAATTTTTCTTTAATAGAAATCGAAGAACTTGGTTATAATTTATTTCGGTTTATTTTAGAAAGAGTACTTTTTCACGATTTTTGTGCGCTAAATCCGAATTTGATTTCAAAAAGTGTGTATAATATCAGATCAGAATTTTGTAAAGATAAAAAATATCAATATGTATCTATGTAGCATTATATACTATGTCTACAAAAATCTTACATATGAAGTAGTTATGAAAAGCATGAAATAATAAAACAAAAGATTTGTTTGCAGAAAAGTATGTATTTATTAAAAAATTATTTTAAAAAGAAAATTGAAATTTTAAGATAGGGTAAATAAAACAAAAACTTATTTATCGTATCGAGTTTGTCATATAAATTTTAAAAACATTTTTTGAACTAGCATGTAAATATACCAAAACTCATTATTTTTAATTATGGTTTTCTCAAAATTCTAATGTGATGCGTAGTTTTTGTAGTTTTTGAATTCGGATTCAGCATATAAAAAAATACACTGAACAATAAACTCTTGCAAAATAATGTTAAATGTAGTTAAAGTATAACTGTTTTTGATTTTATAAATGTAATATTTCCTTTTACTATAAGCATTGATCCCTATTTTATAAGCTCAAAAATTAATAAAATTTTTTTTATAAATTTAAAATAAGAGTGACTTTTGTATATATTATATAATATTTTCTATTCAGGCAGATTTGGATAATTGGAAAAACGTTCGAATACCAAGACCATGGAAAGAATAAGAAGATGCAAAGATTTAGTTATCGATAGAAAAATTCTCAATAGATTTTACTATTATAATTTTATGGTATAATTAATTCATAAATCTTCAGAATGCATTTTGATATTTGTATTTTTAGTTAATTCTGTTGAGAGAATTGCTATTAACATAAAAAAAAAATAAAAAAAAAACAAAAAAAAAACAAAAAAAAACAACAAAAAGTGAGTATTATAAGCTTAGAATTTTATATAAACTATATGTAGTATTTTAATCTTGCTTAAATAATTTTTTATAATTACAAAATTCCTGTTCCTTAAGAATATATATAATTATATGTACATAATATTGCTCATAATTTTTGAGAGATATTTTAAGTTAAATAATATTATGAATAATTATATATGAGTAATATAACTGTGTGTGGAAGAAAAGCATATAATGTTAAAGAATTTACTGTTCAAAAAAATTATAATATATTTTGCTTTATAAGAATTATATATATATATTCATGAAATTAAAATTTTCACCATGATTGGAATTGTAATTGAATTAGATTGATTTATGATGTTTTATTTCCATATATAACAATAATATTGTCTATAGTACTATTCAGAATAAAGCTAATCAATTAATAATGAAAAGAAAAAATAAATACATAATGTGAATCTTCACTATATAATCAATTGTATGTACAACTTTTACTACATTACTACATACTAATTTAGAAACTAATTTATGTTTGCGAAGAAAATAATATTAAAAAAAAATAAAAACTAAAGAAAATATAATTTCTATAAAAAAGAGAAAATAAAAAATATTAATCAATAGTTAATTGGTTCATGTTATAGAAAAATTAATAACACATTCTATTTTATATTTTCTTATTATACAAATTTTGTACTCATTTCTACATAAAGTCAGCGCAATCTTTTCAAGTTTGAGATCTGTATTGTGTCCACTCGGCCCATCTAGGTCCGTGCAAGATTTCGCTGTCATAATCTTTTTTTTGTTTACTTATCTCTACACAATACCATTTCATTTGTTAAACATTATTGATTTTTCTGAAGTTTGATATCGATCAAGTACAGCTAATTGCAATTTCACAGACACAATACATTCAAGATAAATTTTAAGAAGATAATTTTATTTCGTAAGACATATGATGTACTATATAATGTTTCAAAGAAATTCTAATATCTATAATTAGAAATACTAAAACGTTTGTATTTATTCTAATGCTTAACTAACAGTTCATGTACATGGTAGTTGAATGCTATTATGACAGATAGATTTATATGTAAAATCGATTTGTACGTGTTTCTGAAATTTATTTCAAATAATTGTTAATCACGATCTTATACCAATAGTACATACATTACAGTAGTCATTACATTTTTTGTAGCTATATACGAATTCCAAATACAAATAAAAAAATAAATACGAATTAAAAATAAAAACGAAAATAAATTTGGAGAATGGCATTTTTGTCAATACTTATTGCATAGAATTGATAGTAACTAAACTTTAACGAAAGCAAATTTAATAAATCCTTAAAGTCAGTGTTTAAGAGTCGATCTGTAAAGAAAATTATAAATTTTGTAAAATTTTTTACTAATAACTTTATAATATATAAAATAAAACAAAATTACTTCTCGTACCTTTTTTGAAATCCATACATACTTAATAAACCTTGCCTGGAAACTGATGACAATTGTTTACTCTGACGCAATTGTTTCTTTTTTATTTCCGAATTAACTCCTAATACCTAAAATAAAAAGATGATTTATAAGGATTATTACGTACTTATATAATAATATACAGCGTCGACATTCTCGCAGTCATTATAGCATGGCATGAGGAAAACTCCGTCGAACGCCGTATAAAATATATAATTATTATTTTTATATATACATATAATTATTATTATATATATATATATATATATATATATATATATAATAATTATATATTTTCTGTCCATAATTTTAACATATTTATACTTACAGAATTTGCAGAATTTTGTTCTTTACAAATTTTTTTTTTATTGCAAGAAGACTTGACAATTATTTGTATCAAACCATTTGGATAAGTTATCTTGTGAATTATCCATATTTTTACAATTGATTAAATTAGTGGTTTTTACATTAGTGCTTGATGATGCTAAAAACATATTTGGAACTGAATTTTTATTAATTTTTGGACAATGTATCGTTGATGATTCAATGGCTTCAATTGTTTTCTTACTGGAGTATGTTATTTCAGAAATATCTTCATGAGCATTAATTAAACATCCATTTTGATTTGATAAGACTGCATCGTCAATACTTTTCATTAATTCTGCACTTTCTGCATGGTCCGGTAAAGATACTATTTTTTCTTCTTGTTCCCTATTTGCTTCGATATCATACACATTAGTATCTATTTCTGCAGTTATATTACATTTTGCACTTTCAAAATTGACCTTTTCAGTTCTTTTATTTTCCAACTCAAGTATATCATATTTTTTCTCATTTTGTTTCAAGAAATATTTACTTTCTATTATAATATTTTCATCTACGACAGTTCGTTTTATATGCATTAAATTTCTCCCTTTTTTTCGATAATTTTTATTGAATAAAACACTTGGTGAAGTTGTAAGATTGGATACTTGTTTAACAAATTGATTTCTTTTTCTATATAACTCTGGAGATACATTGCTTTCTGCCAAGTGTAAATATTCTTCAGAGCTTTTTTCAGAATTGGCAATTAGTTCAGCATCTTTATTTATGTTGTACATATCCAAAACACTATTTTTGTTTACATTCTGTAATGTTGAAAGCCTATCGCATTGCATGGTAGAATTATGAGATTTTGATGAAACATTTTTTAAAGAATATCCATGTGTAGCCAACTCTTTTCCTGCAATTGAAGAATTCACTGCATTTTCGAAGAAGACATTATTTTTCATTTTTAAATCATATTTCCTCGACCAAATACTAGTGGAAATCATCTCTGTTTGTACTGTTTCCACATCTCGCTTTCTTTTTCGTTCCTATGATATAGAATACAATAAATTATAATAAAATGTGTTGGCGTTTTCAATTTTGAATAATTTTAATCTTTTTTAATCAAATAAATCACATTATTTCTAACCCTTACTTTTAGTGTATAGTTTTCTAGCACTTAATTTAATTACTTACAATTTTATCTGGATTAAAATTGTGAACCATCTTTAAAGTGGATGGATCACAATTGCCTAAGGCTAATTGTAAAGCGAGGTCGGCATCTAATTCTTTACCGGCATGTTGTAATTGATCATTGCTAATATCAGCTGTGGGTGGATTCAATCGCACTTGCTTCCTTTGTAACGGACAGAATACTAATTGATGTTTGAATGTTATATCCGCTAATATAAATGCATCTTTATATTCTTGTGTTACAACCAATGACTTCATGTTGAGTACTGATCCCATTCGTGTCAACGCCTTAAAAAAAATTGTATTATAATAATATACAATAAAAACCAGGTAAGAAAACATACTAATATTATATAATTTCTCATCTTATCTTATAAAGAGAAATCTCTTTATTATATTTATTATTTATTATATTTATTATATTCATGCAAAATACTGATTAAGTTACTTTTGTCTAATATTAAATTTTAAAAAGATACAGTAACTAACTCTATATATATTGTGATCTGTATTTTTCTTAATAAATTTTTGCGCCTTTCCCAAGCCAATGCCAGGAAGAGAAGGAAGATAATCACAACCAGATAAAATACAGATGTAACGAAACATATCCATATTAAATTGTTCAGGTGATATATCCATTGCTAAATGTAATCGGTCTTGTTCAATCAAAACTCCATTTCCATTAAAATCCATTTTGAAAAATATCTAATAAATTAAAACAAACATTGTAAGTTGTTCTTATTTACTAATAAAACAATGAACTTATATTAAAAATTTTTAATTTTTATTGAACATTTGTATTGTCTTTTAAAGAATTTTTAAAAACTTAATACCTAACAATAAAACTATTATTAACAGCAAGTAAATTTTTTCTATATATTCTACTTGCTTGACATCTTAATAATATAAATATGTTCTCATTAATAAATTCATGATGATTAAGATTATGTAATAATTGTTACATAAAATATGTATATTATAACTACTGATTTAGTTTCAACAAAAACTTTTTTGAAAAATTAAAGTTGAACTTTTTAAATAATAATAATGCGATTTATTAATAATTTTCGAATTATAAGAAATTGAAAAAGACTTCTGTACTTTAATAATAAACTGAATATTTTATTTTCCTTATATATTAATGATTTTGAATATTTTAAACTGTATAATAAATATTTTAAACTAAATAATAATAAGCTGACAATAAAATAAAACTATTTTCTTCAGCTAATTTTAGATGGATTTTAATAAAGCTTTAATTATAAATACATGTATATAAATATCATAAATATCTAGTGTCTAAAAAGAATGTAACCAATATTTAAAAAAAAAAAAAAATTTATTTTAATAAATCTGCAAAAAATTATAATTTACTAGTAAAAATATAATATGTAATCACATCAGGAAATTGTTTAGTTGCCATCGTTATCAGTAATAACCTGGCATCTCTGTACTATAGTAAACAAGTATATCAAGACAAGAAGAAAGACGCTAAGTTATCATTGTTGATGATAGTGATTGGAAGAAATTACTGATGTGGTTGTATATTTTTACTATATGTGTAATTTTTTTAGATTTATAGAAATAAATGTAGTGAACAAGATACTATAGTCATGTTCTTTTTAAATATATTCTCACTCACACTCTCTCTGTCTATGTATATATGAGTACATGTTTGTGTAATCTATGTTGAATTAAAAATTGATAATGGATGTTTTATTATACTGAGTTATTATGATTGAGTAAAAGTTATTTGTAAGGAAAACTGCTATTAAAATTGAAGTTAGGAATGAGAATTTTCCCAACTATTTTCAAAAATAGTTTTATTGTCAGATACAATAAAAAAGATAATTATAAATTAACTGTATATTTAAATATTTAGTAATTCTTTTTAAATAACAAAAAACATACAAATAAATACAATACAAATACAAAAAAATACAAATTTAGAATTTATACTAAGATTCAAGCTTAAAATATAATATTAAAGTTTACTAACTTTTTTACAGCCAAATAATGTTAAATCGCTATCTTCTGTAATAACAACATCAGCTATATTACTAATATTTAAATAAGCTAATTGTGCATCTGCTTCATATGGAGCTACGATGCAATCAATGTTCTCATTCTGGCAGTGTTTAATTAATTCCAATGCTATTTCATGAGTTATATCTATAGCTCGTTTCAATAAATTTTTCCCCTCTGCAACTTGACCCATTTGTATTAACTCGAGTGCTTTATGGCGATTTATTTGTCTGGATCTAACAAATATAGTTGTATGTATTATTTATCTATTCTAGTCATTGCTGTTAATTATTCATCATTATTAAATAAATAACTATTTATTTTATACTTATCAATAATTAGTAACAATGAAAATTCATATTTTACTTGAAGCGTTTCAAATAATACTGACTTTTCAAGATTAAAAACATAGAATTATTTAAATTAGTCATTTTTAATTTGTAATTTTTTTCTACATACTCTTTTCTCTTAATCTCTGTTTGTTCCTTAGCAGGAAGTCGTCGGCCATCAAACACCATAATTGGTTTTATTTTGTATCTTAAAAGCATATGTATGTATTTCATGCAATACAAAACATACCTATATATATATATAAAGAAAACCATCAATCATTAGATATCTTAAATGAAAATGTCAATATACATAATAATAATAATTACTTACGCATTCGTAATTTGTCCCATCATTAACTTTTCAGCACAAGAGAATACACCTTTGTGTAACCAACAATAAGAATCAATTGCAACAGCACTACCGGAAAATTCTCTGATATTCGTCTTTTTTGAAGACTTTTCTAAAAACGGTAATAAGCCAGTAATACCCATATTAATTTGTTGATGTGTTCTGGTCTATTGATGAGTAATTGAACGCGGTATATTCCGTGTCGCTTACGTTGCCGCCAGATTTCAATCTCCGATTATAAAATTATTAGAGTGACGTACAAAATGACATCAATTGCTAACAACCATTGAACTATGACTTCCTTTTAATGAAGAAAGAAGAAGAAAAAGAACACTTCGAAGTAGGGTTGGGTTAGAGTCCCTATATATAGAGTCTGGCCCACGGACTAAAGCCTTGTGTCCACGATACTAGAACTCGATCCGAGATCTCGGACTGAGGGAAAGTTACTAGAACTCGGATCATGTACACACTGAATTTGGATGCAAAACTCGAATAAGAAGCTCAAACGAAAAAATGACGTTGCGTCCCATTTTTCGGTACGAGTTATTGCGAGTTATTAGATTTTTACTAGTTTCTTTTACTATCTGTCAAGACAAAATATAAGATACTTATAGTGATACGAGATACTGTGAACAATATAAATAATATTTTAGTAAGTAATTATAGAATTGAAAAAATAAGAAGAAATAATAAATTCTTAAATAAAATAAATTAATAAG